TAAATTGAAAACAACGTTCAAACCTATGATTGCGTTGGATAAAAACCGCAATTTTTATACGTGTGCATGTAAAGCAAATTTCTTGGTAGAGGGGTCTAAATACAGCACAAACAACAATTTCCAAAAGACCAAAAAAAGTGAAAAAGTCTATTTTAACAAAACGCATTTGACTAACAGGTCGAACAACTGATGTTCTTAAACCCTGCTGACTGCCATTGGCGATTGCCAAATAAATTGATCACCAGATCTAACAAAATGGATCTTAATATTAATTTAATACCAAACAGAAAACAATAAACTTGTGGAAAAGATGGTAAACCACAAGCATGAGGTGCAAAAAAAATTTGTACACCATATCCGGATTTCGACAATTAATGTCTCTTCAGTGATGTTAGGGATCGAAACGGTATTTGGAAGGCCATATAATTTACCTCAATTTAGGAAAGACTCTTGAATTTTAAAGAGTCGAAATAGGATGAACGGATCATATAAACCCGAAGGAAAATATAATACAAGCCCAAACGAAAAAATATATAAAAGTCTAAATTGAAAACAACGTTCAAACCTATGATTGCGTTGGATAAAAACCGCAATTTTTATACGTGTGCATGTAAAACAAATTTCTTGGTAGAGGGGTCTAAATACAGCACAAACAACAATTTCCAAAAGACCAAAAAAAGTGAAAAAGTCTATTTTAACAAAACGCATTTGACTAACAGGTCGAACAACTGATGTTCTTAAACCCTGCTGACTGCCATTAGCGATTGCCAAATAAATTGATCACCAGATCTAACAAAATGGATCTTAATATTAATTAAATACCAAACAGAAAACAATAAACTTATGGAAAAGATGGTAAACCACAAACATGAGGTGCAAAAAAAATTTTTACACCATATCCGGATTTCGACAATTAATGTCTCTTCAGTGATGTTAGGGATCGAAACGGTATTTGGAAGGCCATATAATTTACCTCAATTTAGGAAAGACTCTTGAATTTTAAAGAGTCGAAATAGGATGAACGGATCATATAAACCCGAAGGAAAATATAATACAAGCCCAAACGAAAAAATATATAAAAGTCTAAATTGAAAACAACGTTCAAACCTATGATTGCGTTGGATAAAAACCGCAATTTTTATACGTGTGCATGTAAAACAAATTTCTTGGTAGAGGGGTCTAAATACAGCACAAACAACAATTTCCAAAAGACCAAAAAAAGTGAAAAAGTCTATTTTAACAAAACGCATTTGACTAACAGGTCGAACAACTGATGTTCTTAAACCCTGCTGACTGCCATTGGCGATTGCCAAATAAATTGATCACCAGATCTAACAAAATGGATCTTAATATTAATTTAATACCAAACAGAAAACAATAAACTTGTGGAAAAGATGGTAAACCACAAACATGAGGTGCAAAAAAAATTTGTACACCATATCCGGATTTCGACAATTAATGTCTCTTCAGTGATGTTAGGGATCGAAACGGTATTTGGAAGGCCATATAATTTACCTCAATTTAGGAAAGACTCTTGAATTTTAAAGAGTCGAAATAGGATGAACGGATCATATAAACCCGAAGGAAAATATAATACAAGCCCAAACGAAAAAATATATAAAAGTCTAAATTGAAAACAACGTTCAAACCTATGATTGCGTTGGATAAAAACCGCAATTTTTATACGTGTGCATGTAAAACAAATTTCTTGGTAGAGGGGTCTAAATACAGCACAAACAACAATTTCCAAAAGACCAAAAAAAGTGAAAAAGTCTATTTTAACAAAACGCATTTGACTAACAGGTCGAACAACTGATGTTCTTAAACCCTGCTGACTGCCATTGGCGATTGCCAAATAAATTGATCACCAGATCTAACAAAATGGATCTTAATATTAATTTAATACCAAACAGAAAACAATAAACTTGTGGAAAAGATGGTAAACCACAAACATGAGGTGCAAAAAACATTTGTACACCATATCCGGATTTCGACAATTAATGTCTCTTCAGTGATGTTAGGGATCGAAACGATATTTGGAAGGCCATATAATTTACCTCAATTTAGGAAAGACTCTTGAATTTTAAAGAGTCGAAATATGATGAACGGATCATATAAACCCGAAGGAAAATATAATACAAGCCCAAACGAAAAAATATATAAAAGTCTAAATTGAAAACAACGTTCAAACCTATGATTGCGTTGGATAAAAACCGCAATTTTTATACGTGTGCATGTAAAATAAATTTCTTGGTAGAGGGGTCTAAATACAGCACAAACAACAATTTCCAAAAGACCAAAAAAAGTGAAAAAGTCTATTTTAACAAAACGCATTTGACTAACAGGTCGAACAACTGATGTTCTTAAACCCTGCTGACTGCCATTGGCGATTGCCAAATAAATTGATCACCAGATCTAACAAAATGGATCTTAATATTAATTTAATACCAAACAGAAAACAATAAACTTGTGGAAAAGATGGTAAACCACAAACATGAGGTGCAAAAAAAATTTGTACACCATATCCGGATTTCGACAATTAATGTCTCTTCAGTGATGTTAGGGATCGAAACGGTATTTGGAAAGCCATATAATTTACCTCAATTTAGGAAAGACTCTTGAATTTTAAAGAGTCGAAATAGGATGAACGGATCATATAAACCCGAAGGAAAATATAATACAAGCCCAAACGAAAAAATATATAAAAGTCTAAATTGAAAACAACGTTCAAACCTATGATTGCGTTGGATAAAAACCGCAATTTTTATACGTGTGCATGTAAAATAAATTTCTTGGTAGAGGGGTCTAAATACAGCACAAACAACAATTTCCAAAAGACCAAAAAAAGTGAAAAAGTCTATTTTAACAAAACGCATTTGACTAACAGGTCGAACAACTGATGTTCTTAAACCCTGCTGACTGCCATTGGCGATTGCCAAATAAATTGATCACCAGATCTAACAAAATGGATCTTAATATTAATTTAATACCAAACAGAAAACAATAAACTTGTGGAAAAGATGGTAAACCACAAACATGAGGTGCAAAAAAAATTTGTACACCATATCCGGATTTCGACAATTAATGTCTCTTCAGTGATGTTAGGGGTCGAAACGGTATTTGGAAGGCCATATAATTTACCTCAATTTAGGAAAGACTCTTGAATTTTAAAGAGTCGAAATAGGATGAACGGATCATATAAACCCGAAGGAAAATATAATACAAGCCCAAACGAAAAAATATATAAAAGTCTAAATTGAAAACAACGTTCAAACCTATGATTGCGTTGGATAAAAACCGCAATTTTTATACGTGTGCATGTAAAACAAATTTCTTGGTAGAGGGGTTTAAATACAGCACAAACAACAACTTCCAAAAGACCAAAAAAAGTGAAAAAGTCTATTTTAACAAAACGCATTTGACTAACAGGTCGAACAACTGATGTTCTTAAACCCTGCTGACTGCCATTGGCGATTGCCAAATAAATTGATCACCAGATCTAACAAAATGGATCTTAATATTAATTTAATACCAAACAGAAAACAATAAACTTGTGGAAAAGATGGTAAACCACAAACATGAGGTGCAAAAAAAATTTGTACACCATATCCGGATTTCGACAATTAATGTCTCTTCAGTGATGTTAGGGATCGAAACGGTATTTGGAAGGCCATATAATTTACCTCAATTTAGGAAAGACTCTTGAATTTTAAAGAGTCGAAATAGGATGAACGGATCATATAAACCCGAAGGAAAATATAATACAAGCCCAAACGAAAAAATATATAAAAGTCTAAATTGAAAACAACGTTCAAACCTATGATTGCGTTGGATAAAAACCGCAATTTTTATACGTGTGCATGTAAAACAAATTTCTTGGTAGAGGGGTCTAAATACAGCACAAACAACAATTTCCAAAAGACCAAAAAAAGTGAAAAAGTCTATTTTAACAAAACGCATTTGACTAACAGGTCGAACAACTGATGTTCTTAAACCCTGCTGACTGCCATTGGCGATTGCCAAATAAATTGATCACCAGATCTAACAAAACGGATCTTAATATTAATTTAATACCAAACAGAAAACAATAAACTTGTGGAAAAGATGGTAAACCACAAACATGAGGTGCAAAAAAAATTTGTACACCATATCCGGATTTCGACAATTAATGTCTCTTCAGTGATGTTAGGGATCGAAACGGTATTTGGAAGGCCATATAATTTACCTCAATTTAGGAAAGACTCTTGAATTTTAAAGAGTCGAAATAGGATGAACGGATCATATAAACCCGAAGAAAAATATAATACAAGCCCAAACGAAAAAATATATAAAAGTCTAAATTGAAAACAACGTTCAAACCTATGATTGCGTTGGATAAAAACCGCAATTTTTATACGTGTGCATGTAAAACAAATTTCTTGGTAGAGGGGTTTAAATACAGCACAAACAACAACTTCCAAAAGACCAAAAAAAGTGAAAAAGTCTATTTTAACAAAACGCATTTGACTAACAGGTCGAACAACTGATGTTCTTAAACCCTGCAGACTGCCATTGGCGATTGCCAAATAAATTGATCACCAGATTTAACAAAATGGATATATATATGTAAACTTATGCACGGGAGAGTGTATGCCTAAATTGTTTTGTACAAAACAAATAGCAATTAACATGTAATGTATAAAAAGAGTTTTCTCCCTTTTCGCAATAAAAATCACTGATTCCGTGCATAATGGTCATTGGTCATGATGTTTGTAATATTATCCAAATGATATTAGCAAAGGACACAAAGCGGTTTTCTAAATTAGCAATATATCTTCTTATTTTCAATTTTGAAGAAATCAAACATGTTGAAATATCTACTTTCGTTTCATTGAACGTAATTTAGAATAATATCAAAGATTGAAGACATTTCAAATAGATATATATATATACACATAGAAGAACATCATACATTAAGTCATCTTAATCATAGTGGCACACTAATTATATTTGAAACTTACCTTGATAGAATATGATAGACAAAATTTATCCAACGGAAAATTACACGTGTGGTAGGGTTTATAGGTAGCACGGTAGTATTTGCATTCCAGAACTTAGGTTGCTCTTTTGTGTACCCTACTTAAGTCAATGTATCTGAACAGTTCGATTGGACAAAAAATACAGATTCAACTGAACATACTTTCCCAAACTGAGGGATGAATCAGGTGTAGAAAAATAGGAAATAATTCTACATACAGGTGAAAATGAATTTCTGAGAATTTTTTTTAATTTTGAATTCACTGCATGATAAAAGACCTAAAAGCACTAGTGGCCTTAGGTTTTTAAAGATATAAAAAAAAGTAAACGGTCATGATACATATTCAAATTCATTTCTGAATAGTATAAGGAAAGTACTTCAGTTAACTGTTAATGTAGAATTTTTGGCAGTGTTAGAAAGTAGTGAAAATTCTAAAAAGGCTATCATTATCCCTTATGGGCCAGGAAATACTACCGTGCCCCCTTAACTGGGATATATATGTTTACACTAAATCAATAAAGGTATTTTTTTTACCTATTCAATTTGTAAGTTTATCAATAAAAAGTTGATTAAGGGCAACTAGAATAAAACAGACCTTAAATTCCACCCCTGGGAGCGAAAATTGCTGATTCAGCAAATTTTGCCTGATCTGTGGGTAATAATGTAAAAATTTACCTAGAAAGTAGAACTTCATTATTTTGATGTAACTTGCGACACATTTTTAATTATAAATGTTCGCTTTAACTTTTCGCAGTGTCTTACACATGTGCAACAGCTGGAATTTGAGACGCGACCTATTTTAGTTGCCTGTACATCCTATTATTTTCACCGGAATGAATAAAGTGCATAATTTCTTATTTTTTTCCACACAAGTACAGCTATACTAGTTTTCTTTAGGTTTGATTTGTAGTTCTGTGGTAACATGACACCAGTATGAGCATTTTTGGAACCAGTAAGTGGTTAGGGGGTCTTTACTTATTCATTTAGCCCTCATATTTAGCTGAAATAGAGATAGCAATAGGGGTTTCCTTACATTGACAAGACAATTTTTGGGAACAAAGTATATGATTATGATTATATATCAGCAAGATTGAATAGTTTATTCATTATCCATGCAAATGTCATTAATTTATTTGATTTTCTGACCTTGAAAAGCACAATAAAGCTAAATTGATTATGTAAGGGGACACAATTTAACTTGATGCATACATGAGAAATAGACAAACAGTCAACTGAGGGATATATTCGAGTACATGTATTGTCAAATAGATCTTTGAATAATAGTTAACTGCCATCTGAAGAGTCTTGTTATATTGCCTTCATAATCTGGAAATGCTTAAAAGAAAGTAAGGCATGCTGTAAAATGTGGAATGGACTTTACTAACATTTTTCATGATTTGGTGCTTAAACTGTTTCTTTCAGTCAGATTAACTATAAATAGAGTTGGCAATCGAATAATTCCTCCTGAATCACCATGGTTTACTTCTGTGTTGATTTGAAACAACATATATTTGGGTTTTGTTCACTCCTTAAGTAAAAATGTTCAGATGAAAAAAAAGTGAAAATCTGCCAGCTTGGGTAGGGGTATACTTTTTAATTTTTTTTTTATAAGAAATAAGTGCAGACTTGTATTCTTTATTGTAATTTGTTTCCTAGTCAGCAGTCTATGCATCATAGGTGTCATGACTGATTTCAAGTTTGTAAGGTCTTGGTTAAGGTAGCACGGTAGTATTTGCATTCCAGAACTTAGGTTGCTTTTTTGTGTACCCTACTTAAGTCAATGTATCTGAACAGTTCGATTGGACAAAAAATACAGTATCAACTGAACATACTTTCCCAAACTGAGGGATGAATCAGGTGTAGAAAAATAGGAAATAATTCTACATACAGGTGAAAATGAATTTCTGAATTTTTTTTTAAATTTTGTATTCACTGCATGATAAAAATCCTAAAAGCACTAGTGGTCTTACGATTTTAAAGATATAAAAAAAAGTAAACGGTCATGATACATATTCAAATTTATTTCTGAATAGTATAAGGAAAGTACTTCAGTTAACTGTTAATGTAGAATTTTTGGCAGTGTTAGAAAGTAGTGAAAATTCTAAAAAGGCTATCATTATCCCTTATGGGCCAGGTAATACTACCGTGCCCTCTATAAATAATTCACTGTAAATAACAAACCGTAAACGGAGAAAACAGATATCCGCAAAATGAATGTAAAATGCAAATGTAAATTATTCTAACAATGAATAATACATAATATAAATATAATAAAAGTCAATCCCCTGGTTCATTTGACGATTAACACACAGGGATAAACCTATATATAATGGTTGTACTATATAGGGCAGTTGTTAACAACTAGATACTAGTTCAATAAAGAATTTGTTACTGTTAAAAAAAGAAAAAAAAAGAAAGAATAAATCAGCTCTCACTAGCAAGTCTTTACGGCTTTTGGGTCTACGGAAAGCAAGTACAGGTGGCTCGGGAAAGATCTTGGATAGTTGGGGATGTTTTTCGTATTCTTTCCAATTTTCGCGGATAAGGTGTGATAACTTGTCAAATTTGGGATAGTAAGTAAGCACAAACGGCACTCTTTTGTTGACCTTTTTGTCTTTATATTGTAAACGTTCATCTAGGGTGATGTTGTTAGCACGAGAGAAACTTCTGTAGCCCCGATTTTTAGGTGACCGCGACGTTCTTATAGTCGCCTTTTTGTAGTATCATTGGTGGAGAAATTTCGTTTGATTCGGATGGTCTGGCTGTAGGGAATGCTCTTGATGCAATGTTTAGGATGGAAAGGAGGAATATATTGATGTTTGTCTGTGGTCTTGCAATACAGATCTGTAAATATGATTCCATCCTTTACTTGCGTAGCAGTGTCAAGAAATGTGATCTTAGAGTCAGAGATTTCAGAAGTGAATTTTATTGAGGGATGAGCATCGTTGGCATGTTGAATAAACACATTGAGTTCTTGTTCAGTATTTTCGCACTTCATGTCAATATCATCGATAAATCAGAACCAAGAGAGAGGTTGATAAAGAGAAGAATTGAGGTTTTTCTGGTCTAATTTGCCCATAAAAATATTGGCATAAGACGGGCTCATCAGTGTTCCCATTGCTGTTCCATTAACCTGTAGAAAGTGTTCGCCATTGAATAGGAAGTTATTGCATTTCAATACCTAAGTCAGAGGCTGAACTAGACATTCAATTGGTGGGTGTAAGGTGTTGCGAGAGTTCCGGACTTCCCCACAGGCTTCAATACAATCGTCATGGGGGATGTTAGTATAGAGAGAGGTTACATCAAGCGAGACAAGAATTGTTTCAGGTTGGATAGGGTTCAAGGATTCCATTTTCTTAAGATAGTGTGTTGTATCTTGTATATGTCATTGTTGGAAATCACGCACAGAAGAATACGTTACCGTAACGCGGTATTATTGTATCTTACGTCGTATACTTATGACGTTATCTTGTACATTAGTCGTCAATAATTTTTGATATTGGTACCATGACCAGAAGAAGCTTATATCTATTCGAGCGGGACACAGAAGCGCAATTTCAAGGACTTTAACAAGATTTTACGAGCGGAGTGAATCAGAAGAAAACCCGAAGGGGAAGAGTTGGAAACATTTCTTGATACAATAATGGGGATATTCTAAATGATTTGGATAAGAACATTATAAAAGGTGTACAGGAGGAGGATATAGAACAAGAAATACTTGACTCAGATGAGTCTAACTTTTACTTAGAGACGAAAATACGCAAAATTTAAATGCAGCCGCTAGAAGTTTTTCACCTCATAATGAAACACTGTAACCCATACAAAATGTTGTCCCCGCATATATTTTTTTTTAGAAGAGTCACAAAATACAGGCCTCAATTTCACGTCCTTGCGTTCAAATTCAAGCGTCAATTGCAGCAACTTTCACAAACTTCCGAAATTGAACTTACCAACATACGATGGAAACATCCTTTTGGGATTCTTTTGATTCAGAAAATCACAACAACACACTAAGCGACGTTCAAAAGATCAATTACCTAAAATCTTTATTAGAGGGAGAAGCGTTACACCATTGCCGGATTTGCTCTTACGCATACAAACTATAACAAAGCTATTGAACTTATACACGAAAAATTTGGACAAAAGCATACAATCATTCAATCGTATATGCAGGCACTACTAGACATACCCGCACCAAAAAATACGCTAACACACCTATGAAGTTATTACGACAGAGTTGAAAGATACATTAGAGGATTAGAATCTCTCGGACAAGTTCAAGGCTCGTACGGCTCGTTATTAGTCATACTCAACAAAATGCCCAGTGAAATACGCAAAAACTTGACACGTGAACACGGTTCAACAGATTGGTTTCTCGGTGACCAAAGGAGATCTTTTTTCAAGGAGCTGGCCAATTTTAGACTCTGGTAAAAGCACAGAAACAGTTGAAAATCCGAGCGCTACAGCTACTTTCTACACAAACTCAAAAGCGCGTAAATCTTGCCAATTCAACACAGAAATCTAATCCAATAAGCTGCGCATACTGCAATGAACGCCACTTTTTGTCTGAATGTACTAAATATACAGATCACAACAATCGCATGAAAATGTTAAAACAGATAGATTACTGTAAACCAATATATTTTCGCGGATACTTTAATTCGCGTTCGGCCCTTTTCAGTCGACTTCGAGGCGATTTATTTTTGCGGTTTTCCAATTGTCTTGGTGTATTTATATAAGAAAAGACCGAAGTTTTACATATTCGCGCCGATTTATATTCGCGTTGTTTTTCTACTAGCGAAAGTACAGTACAAATACACCACGCGGAGGAATTTGAGACATCTGTTTTATATTCATCTTTAATCCGTGATCGCGCAAATGATTTGTTGGAGACCGCAATTGCACCACTAAGCTATAGAGGACAAACGAGTGACGCAAATGTCCTTTTTGACGAAGGCGCCCAAAGGCCATTTATAACCAGGCATTTTGTAGAGATATTGGAGTTAAGACACACAATCACCTTATCAAGATAACTATTAATGGCAA